AGGGGAGAGCTGCCTACCAGACATTCCAGCTGGCTGTGGTCCTGGACCAAGTCATGCGTCAGGCAGGCCAGGATCCGGAGCAAGTAAAGTTCCGAGACATCCTCCTGCGACTGAGAGATGCCAAGGTCACAGTGGCCGACTGGAACCACCTCATGACCCGCACTCCCACAGAGTCCAGGATCTCTCTCCCTTTCTCCACTTCCCTCCACGTCATCCCCACTGTTGAAGCTGTGGTCGAGTACAACGTGGCTCAGCTCCAGGCCCAGTGGCCAGCCCATTGAGGCAGTTCACACTGGACCCAATGCAGCCAAGGCCCCAGCTGATGATGCAGGAGGACTGGAGGCAGTCGTCTGCCTGGCCAAGTCAGCCCGTGTGATGCTCACCAGCAACCTCTGGGTTGATGTTGGCCTTGTCAACGGAGCCATGGGAACTGTCCAGGCCATCTGCTACAGGACTGGTGGACCACCTGACCTCCCCATCGCTGTCATGGTTCGCTTTGACAGCTACTCCGGCCCCACTTTCCCTGACGGCACAGTACCCATCACTCCTCTGGTCCTCCTCGGGAGGTCATTGCTCACGTCTCCAGCTCCCCCTCAAGCTGGCATGGGCAGTCACCATCCACAAGTCTCAGGGTCTCACCCTGGACAAAGAGAGAGTTCTCCACAGGCCTCACATTTGTTGCCTGTTCATGTGTGCATCAACTTCAAGATCTCCTGTTCACCCCACCATTTCTCTTCCAACGGCTCGCAAACCTCTCCAAGAGCTCACGTCTGAAGGAGAGGCAAGACGAGGACAGGAGGCTGCAGTCACTCTGCCACTGATTTTTTTCAAAGTGACTCCATTCCCATGTGCAAGTCCATTTGTCATCCTCGCTAAGTGTTCTTCCCTGCACTCATCAAGCTACACACTGTATGTTCCACACCACTATTCATCCTTACACATATCTACAATGCAAGTTTTTGGTCTATCTACTTATCCAAGTTCCTATGCAAGACAGTGCACCCCACCTAAGCAAGTATGACCTTTGCCCAGAACAGTGTGATAAGTCCAGCTGGTGAATGAAGTCCACAGTCTTAGTGGTAAAAAAGGAGTCCGAAAGTCCAGTTTGGTGGAAAAGGCCAGTGTTCTTGTGCTCTGGTGAAGAAGCATTGTTTTTCCACAAGGTCAGTTTGCTGTTCTGGGGCTAATGGTCAAGAACCCTCAACTCGAAAGAGGCTGGTTAAGAGCATCTGTTCTGGGCAATAGTCTTTTTCTGAATGTCTATTATACACACACTTCTTCCATAACATACACAGCCTCACGCTTCACGCGGACCACTGCCCCTCCAACCTCCTCGTGGTGTAGTCTGGGACCTTCAGTACAGTTAGTGCTGATGCTAACAGGAGGGACTGCTGATGGCTTTATAGTTCCATTTGTTTTTGTTTTCTCTTTTTCTGTCAATAATGTTAGTCTTGCTTCACAAAAGGAAAGCTGTGCGCTGACGGCACGTTATGCAACCCGAACATCGCGGGCAAATCCCAAGTTGGGTCGCTCCCGCTCGCCAACAATGTTCAACATTTCCACTAGTTTACAATGATGCAATCCCTACGCATGTCCGACCTCCTCTGGGTCTGGTGACATTTCACTGAATCAGCAGCCTTGTGACAATTACATAACCACACGCAAGTTACGCTCGTGAACACGCGGCATGCAATGAGCTAGCCTTGAAACCAGAAACCTTTTTTACTGGTGAAGAAACACAATAATGTATACAATTGAGGGCAGTAAGAATATTAGCGGGGATGTACAAACGGAAGAGCAGTTTGGAGCAGTGGCGGATGCAGGGGTTCCTTGGGTTCCGCGGAACCCTGTTTTTGTCGTTTTGCACACATGCGTTGCGGGCCTCGTGCGGGTGTACGAGCACAGTCGAAATCCTTCTGGACAGCTGAACCCCCCTTGCCACTGGTAAAGATGTGATTCGGAATTAATTCGGTCGACCACCATTGGCATTTTGATGGCATGTCCTCACGACTATCTTGTACCTCTGATGGCCTGGATGGAGGAGCGTAGACGGGAGAAGGTGTAAAAGGTGTTGGCCTCCCTGGCCAAGCCTCCGGTAGCAGAGGCAAAAAGGTAGCATGTTCAACCTCGCTTATCCGTTGTTCGTATGCACTCTTCTTGATTTGTTTGTGCTCTCTATAGACCGAATGCAGATTGGCGTGTCTGTTTGACAGGGCGTGGGGATCCAATACCCTAACATCAAAGTAGGTTCTCTCGAAGGTATATACCACCCCAGACACCATTTGCAGCGATAGCAAGGCTGGCACCTACCTGTGAGTTGGCCGTGGACTCTTCATCGGTCACAGACTGAAGCTCCGGCTCAATGCACACGTCATTGAACACTTCTGTGAGGATGGTAGCTGTCAGGTCCGTTGTGCCTGGCACAATACAGAGTGTGTTCAACTGAAAAAGACGCACCACAGACACATTTCGAAGGAAGTGTGTCTGGTGGCCACCCAATGCATAGAAAACAGGAAGAGCAGTTTGTTAAAAAAGGAGTTATAGAAGCGGAGAAACACGTGCACAAGAGCAGAAACGAATACGCTGAATAGCAGTGTGTAAAACTGTGCCAATGACGTTTAGATTTTAGAAGGCAGGCAAAAACGACCTTCAGTGGCGCAAGCGCAGAAAAACGTGCGCAAACGGATAGCAACGTGCACATTCGCAGAATATCTTACTGGTAAAGCGTATATAGAACAGTGATAGACACATGCCAATTCGCAGAAAACACGTGGAGCAGTTTAGAAAAACGTTTAAATTGGCAGATAACAAAGTGGAGCAGAGAAACGTGCACACGATCAGAAAAAGTCTGTAATGCGACTTACCAATGCGCAGAACACACGTATAAAAAGTGTAAATGCGCAGAAAAACCAGTTGCAGCGCAAGAACGTTCACAATCGCATATATAAGAACGTGCTCATACAATACGCTGAAAAAGCGTGGAGCAGAATGATAATAGTGCTGATGCATTGAACACACCTGCAGCAGGTAGAAAAACGGGTAAATTCGCAGAAGAAAACAAGTTGCTGTGATACAAACGCTGAAAAACCTGTAAACACGATGTGCACAAGTGGAGAAAAAAACAGAATTCGCGGAATAAGTGCCAAATTGCAAACGTGTGATAAAGCGAGTTACAGTGAGAGATAAACATGCACACGTGCAGAATAACTTACAGAAACTCTGGAATACTCAGAAAGCGTAGTACAGAAGGAAAAAACTTGCCAATGCGGAGAAAACCAATGGAGCAGATATAAAAACCTTCGAATGCGAAGTTGCAGTGACACAAACGGAGAAAAACGTGCATATGCACAAAAAACTTTCAAATACACTGGAGCGGCGTGCCAATGTGAAGAAAACACGAGGAGAAGTTAGGAAACGTGTAAATGCGTGGAAAGAAACGAGTTGCTGTGGACAAACGCGCACATGCACAGAAAAATGGCACAAACTTTCGACTACACTCAAAAATCGTGGAGCAGAGGGGAAAACGTATACACCATCGCGCGACAAGACGTGGAGCCGTACATAAAGGTGTAAATTTGCAGATATAACGAGTTCCAGTGGGAGAAAAACAAGTCCAAAATAATTACAGAAACTCTGGAGTTCGCTAAAAAAGCATGGAGCTGAAGGAAAAGCGTGTAAATGCACAGAAAAACGACTTGCATACAGATAACAAGGGCATGCACGAGCGCATGAGAACGTGCACATGCTGAAAAAGCGTGTAGTCTAAGGGAAAATATGCTATTCAGCACAAAACACATGGAGCAGTTACAAAAATGTGTAAAATGAGCAGGAAAAATCGCAAAAACTTTAAAATACACTGAAAAATGGTGGAGCAGAAGGAAAAACGTGCCAATGCACAGAACACATGTGGAGTAGTTGGAAAAAGGCGTAAATGCGCAGAGAGAAAACTGTGCACAGACGCATAACAACTTGCACTTGCGCATACAAATTACAGAAACTTTCATACCCTGAATAAGCGTGGAGCAGAAGGAACAACGTGCCTATGCGCAGAAAACACGTAGAATAATGTGTACACAGGAAAAACGAGTTGCAGTGACATGAACGCTAAACGCAGAGATACGTGTATATGCACAGGAAAATGATAAAAACTTTCGAGTACACTGAAATCGTTGAGAAGTGCAAAAAGGTCCAGTGAGAAAAACGTGCACAAACGCATAAAAACTTGCGCATGCGCAGAGAAACCTACAGAAACTTTCCAACACGCTGAAAAGCGTAGAGCAGATGGAAGAACATGCCAATGCACAGAATAAAGAAAAACTTGTAACTGCGGATAAAAGAATTACAGTGACACAAACTGAGAAAAACGTGCATAGAATACGCTGGAGCAGTGTTAAAAAAAACTTCCAATGCGAAGATATATAACACATTACACTTGAAAATCGTGGAGAAGGTGCCATTGCGCAGAAAATACTTGGAGCAGGTACAAAAACGTCAAATTCGCGGACAAACGAGTTTCAGTAGGAGAAAAACGTGCACACGAGGAGAAAAATTGCAGAAACTCTGGAATACGCTGAAAAAGCAAGGAGCAGAACGAGAAACCTGCACAGAAAACATGTGCGTGAAAAACGTGTAAATGCGCAGATAAAACGAGTTGCTGTGAGGAAAACACATAAAAACGTGCAAATGTGCAGAAACAATAATTTACATCAATTTTGGAAAAAAGTGTGGAGCAGAAGGGAAAACGTGCAAATGTCCTCAATAAACGTGTAGCAGTTAGAGAAATGTGTAAATTCGAATAAACTGCCCTGACACAAGTGCGGAAACCCCTGCAAGAACGCAGAAAAATTACATCCACGTGCGCATAAAAATTACACAAGCTTTCGATGATGCTGGAGCTGGGTGAAGAACTTGCAGAAGTTCGAAAAAATTAGCAGAAAACGGAAAAACATGCACAAACGCAAAAACAAACGCAAAAAAAACAAAAATGGCACCAACTTTCGAATACAGTGGAGCAGAAGGGAAAATGTGCCGATGCATAGAAAACACGTGGAGCAGTTCAAAAAAAGTGTGAATGTGCAGAAAGAACGAGTTTCAGTGGGAAAACTGTGCACAGGTGCATAAGAACCTACACTCGCGCAGAAAAAATTACAGAAACTTTCAAATATGATGAAAAGGAATGATGCCGAAGAAAAGAACATGCCTATGCGCAGAAAACATGAGGAGCAGTTAGAAAACCTTGGAAATGCGCAGAAAAAAACAGGTGCATAAGAACCTACACTCGCGCATAAAAAATTACAGAAACTTTCGAATACGATGAAATCGAATGATGCCAAAGAAAAAAACATGCCTATGCGCAGAAAACATGAGGAGCAGTTAGAAAACCTTGGAAATGCGCAGAAAAAAACGATTTGGTGTGACTGAAACACAGAAAAATGCAAGAAAAACGTGTATAATATGCACAGGAAAAATTGAGTTGCAGAGTGAGAAACATGCACAAGCGCATAAGACATACACATGCGCAGAAACAGAATTACAGAATTTTCCGAAAAGGGTGATAAAACGTAGAGAAGAAGGAAAATTATAGTATGTGCCAATTCGTGACGTGGAGCAGTTAGAGAAATGTGTAAATTCACAGTGAAAAGGAGTTGCTGAAACACAAATGCAGTAAAACCTTCAAAAACGCAGAAACATTTCCTGCAGATGCGCAGTAAAAATTACCACTTCTCTACTATATTTGTACAAGGGCACCAATGAAGGAGAGAAAAAGACGCAACAAAAACAAAAGAACAAAAGAAATACTATAGTATAAGGAACAAAAAATGGAGAAAAAACAACAACACGGGGGTCGGCCACAGCATGACAAACGGGAGGGACACCTGAGACCCTCCTCGAACATCTGGAGACCCAACGAGGCAGAATCGGAATTCCTAATCGAAAAGGTGGAGGCCCAGGGCTGAGGATGGGATGACGTTTGACCAGTCACCTGCATGACGAATTGCGGACAAAAGGGCCAGGGGTTGGAAGTGAACGTTGGGAGCTGAATCCAACAAGGCATCCTCGCCAATAGCACGAGAGAGGCTGTGTAGACTGTGGGGTACATCGATATCCTGGATAGAAGACCAGTCAGGTCTTGCTGAGGCCAAGGCCTAATGTCGTAATACAGTGTAGTAACATCTAATATTTTGCTGCACTTATCCCTATCTCGCCAAATTTCACTTCACCCTTAAAGAAAGGATTGCGCTTTTTTGTAGGAACAATAGTGGAAGAAGAGACAAACAAACTACGTGTAGCACTTTGACTACTGTTGCAGTGTGGAATCGTAACACCTGCTATCTTGCTACACCTACCCCTATCTCGCCCAAATTTGGCTGTCCCCATAAATATTGGTGTCAACAATTTTGCATTTTTTTGTAGGCACAAGAATGGAAGATGAGACAAACCAATTATGCGTAATAAATGTACTAATGTTACAGTACGGAATAGTAACACCTGGTATCTTGCTTCACTTATTCCTATCTTGGCAAATTTTCGCTGTCCCCCCTAAAGAAAGTTGTCGAGGATTGCACATTTTTTGTGGGCACAAGAGTGGAAGAGAGAAACAAGCTATGCGTAGCACTGTGAATAGTGTTGGAGTGTGGAATCGTAACATGTGCTATCTTGCTCCACCTATCCCTATATCCACCAAATTTCTCTATCCTCTGTAAGTAAGGGTGTCAACGATTTCTCATTTTTTGTAGGCACAAGAGTAGAAGAAGAGACAAACCAACTATCTCTAGCTGTACCTATCCCTATCTCGCCAAAATTTGGCTATCCCCTTAATATTGGTGTCAACAATTTTGCATCTTTTGTAGGCACAAGAGTTGCAGATGAGACAAACCAATTATGCATAGTACATGCATGTACTAATATTGGAGTACGGAATAGTAACATCTGATATCTTGCTGCACTTATCCCTATCTCGCAAAAATTTCGCTGTCCCCCGTAAAGAAAGTTGTGCAAAAAATCGTAGATACCGTTATGTATAGAGGAAAGGATTGCAAATTTTTTTGTGGGCACAAGAGTGGAAGAAGAGAGAAACAAACTATGCTAGTGTTGGAGTGTGGAATCTTAAACTGTGCTATCTTGCTCCACCTATCCCTGTCCTAAAATTTCGCTATCCTCTACACATAAGGGTATCAACGATTTTTTGTAGGCACAAGAGTAGAAGAGAGACAAACAAAGGATCCCTAGCTGCACCTATCCCTATCTCCCCAAAAATTGGCTATCCCCTCCATATTGATGTCAATAATTTTGTATCTTTGTAAACACAAGAGTGGAAAATGAGGCTAAGTACTAATGTCGTAGTACGTATAGGTTAGATGCGGAGCCGCGGGAACTACGCGATTTAGTGAGCGAGGGCCCTGGGCTGTCGGCGTCCAGAGGAGGACGCTACTACCAGGGCCCCGAGGCTGAGTAGTTCCCAAGGCAACGCATCTAACCATCTTAGACTACAGTGCTAGCAACCTCTTTAATCTATGTAGCAACGCACAACAGCGCATGCTACATAGAGGATGTAAGGTAAATGTGGGTAACTTCGGACATGGGGTAACACCCGGACATAACTCGCTATTCAGAAACAATATTTCACTTGATTACTACCTGCCAAAGCGCTAACAAATCTTCCTCGCGTTTTTTTTCGCAGTGCATAATTTCGAGGCTGGTGCAACGCCACATGTCCGGAGTTACCCCCATTTACCTTGCGGCTTACTGGGGGTCGGAGCTTTTTGCTGAGGACGAACTGGAAGTAGACAGGCTATTTGCAGCTGTCAGCAGCCAGTTCGAGCATGCGTACAACAACGACTATACCAGCAAGGCAGTAGAGTGTTTGTTCTAGGCAAATTGGCAGAAAGAGCTGCAGCAGTGAACAGAAAGAACGTGTAGAAGTTAGAAAAACAGGACAAACACAAAAACGTGTGCAGTGGAAAAAATTACACAAATGTGCGATTACACAGAGACCAGTATGCAAACTGGCAGAAAGAATCATTATCAGTCAGTCGTGTAAATTCGGTGGAGCCTGGAGAAAAAAAACGCAGAAAGATGTGAATGTTTACCAATGCGCAGAAAAAATGTGGCTCCAATGCGCACAAAAAACTTGGAGCAGTGGGGGAAATGCTGCCAAAACGAGGAAAATTGGGACATCTGCAGGAGAATACGAAAAAAATGTGTGAAGCAATTGCGGAGCAAACGCAGAAGAACTTGCGCTGCTATGCAATGAACAATATGGAGCAAAATGTGCAAACAAAAAAGAACGTTTTCATAATGCATAAAAAACGTGAAGAAGTAAGTGCAAAACTTGCGCATGCACTGAAGATAAGAATAAATAGCAAATGCAGGGCCGCCATGTTCAATGAGGTAAGGTCCCGAATTCCAACCATTGCGTCCTGGACGGAAGGCTCATACAGCTCTCAGCCCAACCTCCTCCTTGACAACCAAACCATCCTCAGTTGCTGTAGCGTGACCCCTCGGTCCACTGGGGTTTGCCCTTGTCCTCCACCCCATTTTTGAGAAGATCACAGAGTCCGTCCCCGGCCTTCTAAAAAACGTTTGGTACCCTCGACAATGGTACCCTTTGAGGCAGTCAACAGGATCTCGTTGCGGCTCTCACCATCATCGAAGCTAAGGGTCCTCCACGGGGACTGTTCCTGAATAGGGGCAAATCCTTCATCCTGGATCCGGCACACTACACTATCACATCTCCACCCACCATTCCAATTGGTGTCCACCTACCATTCCAAATAAACGTGTGACAACGAAGAAGAACGTGTGAATATGAAATATAATGAGCTGGATAAAGTAAAAATATGTAGACAAAGCTAAAAACCAAAAACCGCGCAAAATTTGCGTATTAGGCAATAAATAACCGTGCCAATTGCAATTGGCACTCGCCCCCATTTCAATTCCAATTGGTGCCCACCCACCATTCCAAGTAAACGTGTGACAACGCAGAAGAACTGTGAATACAAAATACTAGTAGGCTAATGTATGGCATTTTTGGCGAGCGGGAGCGAGCACACAATGACAGTATCTGCACGAGCCATCTTATCCTGGCGCATGCGTGTATCGCCTCTTGCATGCTATCTAGCGTCAGACTCTGGTCGAGCTGGCAAGAGACCACGAGTAGCAGCTAAAACTAAACTCAGCCCATCAATTAGTGGTAAGGCGCATGCTGAGGGTTTGCACTTCAGTGCTTTTAATTTTTCTAAGCATCACAGAACACTATAAATCATGCTTGGAATTTAATCGAGAATCTCAAGGCTATGCTATCCACCATCCCAATCACCGCAGTGTTAATATGTTTATCTCCTATTAGCATCAGTACTTAATGTACTGAAGGTCCCAGACCACACCGCGAGGAGGTTGGAGAAAACATGGTCCAAGCATGGAGGCGTGTGTGTATGCACAATATGATATGGAAGAAGTGTGCATGAGAATATATACAAAAAAAGACGTGTTCCTTACGAACCTAACCTAACTAAGAAGAGACGATAAACTAGGATGCGAAGGGTCGACTAACCAGGATGCGAAGGGACGACTAGCTATACAGTGCAGGTGCAGGAACCTAACTAGGATGCAAAGGGACGACTACCTAGGATGCGAAGGGACGACTAGCTATGGTGAAGGAACCTAACTAGGATGCGAAGAGACGACTAGTTATGGTGCAGGAACCTAACTAGGATGCGAAGGGACGACTAATTAGGATGCGAAGGGACAATAAGATGCGAAGGGATGACTAGCTACAGTGCGATTAATTGGACTTGAGAGGGCCACCTACGATAAACACAGTGAGGTTAGTAAGAAAGAAAAAACTTATCTTTAAACAGTGAAGTTGGGTTGTAGTAGGTTTCTATGTGGGAAATACAGTGCAGTTGAGCAGTTGTTGAAGATGTAGTTGCTTCTTCTGTGGTAAAACCACTCAGTTGTTGATCCTTATCATGCGGTTGGCAGTCTTTAAATGGTGGTAGATGTAAAGTACTGAGTGGTGGATGGCTGTAGAGAGAGAAGCCGCTGGTCTTCTTCTTGTCAGTCCTTGAGACGACTGCTGTTTGAGAGGCTGGAGAGCCGCTGGTAAGGAAATGATGGTGTAAATAGCAAGTCTTGGACATGAGAGCAGGAAACAAATGTTAGGCCTGTGGAGAGCTCTCTCTTGCCGACATCAATGATCACCTTGTCCAGGGTGAGACCTTGAGACTTCTGGATGGCGACTGCCCATGCCAGCTTGAGGTGCAGCTGAAGACGTGTACATGGGCCTCCTGAGGAAGACCAGGAGCGGGTGATGGGGACGGTGGCGTCAGGGAAGGTGTGGCCGGAGTAGCTGTCAAAGCGGACCATGACAGCAATGGGCAGGTCAGGTGGTTCACCAGTCCTGTCACGGGCTGACTTGGCGAGGCAAATGACTGCCTCCAGTCCCCCTGCATCATCAGCTGGGGCCTTGGCTGCTTTGGGTCAAGTGTGAACTGCCTTGATGGTGGCAATGGGCTGACCACTGGCCTGGAGCTGAGCCTCTTCAGCAGTGGAGATGAGATGGAGGGCAGCGGAGAAGGGGGAGAGGTCCTGGACTCTGGTGTA